GCAGGAAGGTTAGGGTTTTTTAAGATGTTGACACCACTTGTGAAGTCCTCAGTGCCGCTTTCCACTGTATGATAGTTCATTAAAACACTTGCTGATAATGGGCTGCTGTTTGCAAGTGCAGGAACAGTAACTTTGCCTAAGGGCAGCTGAAGTTTTTACGTTCAGGCAAAATAGCCAAGCAGCATGCTGACTTGCCTTAGTTGTTCTACAGCTGCTCAACATTAAATGAAAGGCTGCCCCTCCTGAAGATGAGCGTGCATTTGAAGTGTATCTTTTTGTAACATTTTATAATAGGTGAAGTTAAAAATCTTTGGATTTAGGACCCAACTCCTATCTGGCTTTGTAGGACTGTGGCTCCATTTCAGTGAAGCCAGCTAACGCTAGCTGGATAATTTGTTCTTTCTTTTTTATTTTTTTTTTTTAAAGACATGTGTTACAGGGATTTGGATAAGCCAGAGCTGCTCTTGAGTGCATGATCCTATTTTATAGATTTTTTTTTTTTTTTTTTTAAAAAGACATAAAAAATGGAAGCTATTCTATCCTGGCTTCAGGAGCAATGAGGCTGAACACTCTTTTTTGCCTATGTATGAGGTTCTAAGTATTAATTGTAATGAAAAGCATTATCTGTATTTGCATGTATTTTATCAGGTAGGAGGTATTGCAATAAAATTGACTTATTGATTGTGGAAGTTAATTGTGTGATAAAAATAAAAACTGTTTTTACTGACTAGAATAAAGAAGATTATGAATAATGAAGCTTTGAAAACAGAAAGACTTTCTATTGTAGTGCCTGTAGTTGAGTTCATTTAACACTGAAGGCTGATTTTTTTTCTTTCCAAAAAGTGTTGCCTACAAAATGTACCTTGTGGTTGCTTTTAAGGCTTGTTTTTAGTTTCAAACACCCTTTCATTCCTGGTGAAATTTGTTACAGGTGTATAAACAATCCTTGATGCCATGTCAGTGGTATAAAGAAAATTAGATCCCCCCAAATTAATGTGGATTTATCAGTGGTAGATTGGCCTAGTTTTTTACTTCTCTAAATTCCCTTGTCAAATACTGTACTTCAACCTGTGTGGCTAATTTCTGTTACTACACAGTCAATCATATATGATCAGGCATGATAGGAGTGAAAATCTTATCATCACGATGTTAGAAGATGGAGGAAGTAGGAACCTGACTTCGTAGCAGTAGGACATTCAACATGCAAATGGTTGCTGTATATCTTCCACCTTATGAAGTCTGTGGAGTATTATTTATGGAGAACATCTGGTTTCTTGAATCTCTGCTTTATGGTACTTACCCACTCGGTGTACTAAGAAATGTCTGCTACTCAGTACCTGTTTATTTCCTTTTTAAAATCTCGTCTAAACAGCTCTGCCACGTGTGGAGTCTTTATCTCATGCTGATGTCCTGTTGATGGCATCTTGTGCTCATAAGTCAGTCTTCAACAAAGGGTCTCAATGATTTGGTCTGAGTTAACTCGGGATCTATGACTGCAAAGCTGGGGAGCAAGTTTAGGAAATGTACAAACCTGAAAGCAGCCAATTTTTTGGTCAAGATTAGTGGTAGCAATATTGTAAAAAATAGACCAATTAAAAGTGTGACTTAGGTGTTTTGATAGAAAAAGGGCTTATTATTTTCCTGTCTCCTCCTCTGTTTTCAAGGAGTAAATTATTCCCTTCCTGCTACTTCTGTTAAGGGCATACAGCTTCCTTCTCTGGACGCTCGGGCTCTGTAGATGTAGTTAAATTGTTTATTGCAGTTACATCACAAATCTTGGTCATGCTTACTGAGGGAGTAGTTTGAAGATCAGCTTGTTTTGTATCACTCTCTTATTTTTGCTCATTTTTCTTCTGGTAGTGAGCTGTAACAGATCACCAAGAGTCTGTGCAGGTACTAATGCCAGCCCAAAAATGGGACAGAAGCACACACATAAAGCCAGGAGTAACAGACGTTAGAGGGGACAGTGAGCTCAGCCTTCTCCTAGAAACTTGTGCTGATGGTGGCCCTGGCTGTAGTAGAAACATGGTATAAATCATGACAGCCATCAGCTTATCCTCGGCTGTGTGATTCTCCCAGTTTCCTTGCACTTGCATTTGTGTGATTGTTCATTATTTATGGAATAGACTAAGCTGAAAATTAGTAGGTTTTTTTTTTTTTCTGTCATTTGGTTTTCAGGCAGATTTTTCCCCTGAATCAGTTAACATAGTCACAAAGTATCAGTGACTGCAAAAGAAAGGAGGCAGGAATTATGGTAACCCAACTGCCCTCTGACTTTCAAATGACAGAGAGTGATTAAATGATTCAAATGGTGACTTAAAGACACATATGTGTGTAGAATTTAGAAGATTTAACATGAGGCTTGATGTCATGTCGAATGTAATTTTCTGTAAATCATGGGTTTTTTCATACTTTATTTTACAGTTGCTGCTAACTTACAGAAGATAGTAGATGATCCAAAGGCCTTGAAAACATTGACTTTTAAGTTGGTAAGTAAAAGCATAAAGGGAAGAAACAAACTAATTATCACAGTATTCACACAGAGTATGGATTTTATCTCATTTACAGCTATTTCGCTGAATAAATGTGTTGACAGATAAGGTGATTGAAATTGCCATGTGTGGGAGAAAAAACCTAAACCCTATTTTGACAGGACATTAGGGATATGTACAGTCACACAGCTCCATAACTGTGCAGGGAGAAGGAGGTTCAGTCACATGAGTTCTGAGGAAGTCTGACGTTTAAGTGAGAAACTACAGGGAGAAAACCGCTGGGAAGAATTGCAGGAACAAGTAAAGCAGAGAAAACTGTAGTTGTTAGGTTAACTCCCCCCGCACCCCCACTCCCTCAGCTCTGCCCTGGCTGCAGTGTCCTCTGCTAATGGACATTTTGTTCCAATCCCATTTTTTCGAACACCTGCCACCATTTTTCTTGTATGCAGGTTGCCCTCTCTGCTGCTTGCTTCTTCTTAGTCTTCCCTTCAACCTTCTTCCAATTGACCATTCACACTTACAAGCTGATCTTGCTCCCACTGTATTTCATTACTGTTTCTCCCTCTCCACCTCTTTCTGTCTTCTGGGTATATAACATCAGACCCTGGTTTTGGGCGTGGGACTGTTTTCTGTGCTGCATTTTGTGCCCTGGACCACGGGTCCTAATTTTGGTCAGTCTCGATGCTATCACAATAGATCTAATATAGTATTAATAACTTTATATTGCAAAAACTTAATTCAGAATTGATGTGCTGTATTTGTTTTTATTTCTTGCTAAAATTAAGTTGAAAAATTTACATACCTAAAGTATTGAATGATTAGCTATGTAAATACCAAACTCTTACCAATTAGCTTTCAGCACCCCTTGCTGAGAGTGACTCAGCCGCATATGAAAAGACTAGACTGAATGTCTGTTAGATAAGTAGGTCTCCAGAATCACAGCTTTGTTTATAAAAGCAGCTGCTTCAGATGGGCTGTAGAGAGCCATTTTTAGAGAGTAAGTGACCTAGTTGATGATAATGTATTGATTCAGGATTGTTCTTCCCATGTCATTTTTCAAATATAGATTTGAGTAGCTTTAACTGACCAAATCATTTGGACCCGTTTTTCCTCTACAGTCCAGTAAAATCACCAGGACTTACATGTTTCTTTTGAGAATGGTTTTGGGTGGGGGAAAAAGGACATGTAACTCAAATTGTTTTATTTCTGTGGCCCTTACTATCTAAATATAGCTTAAAGGCTGATGTTTCTCTTTTTGCAGCTGATCTGTGTTCTTGCTGTCTGAACATCTGACTTAGCTTTATTGTGTAGTCAGTGGCATCTCACCAAGAGCATTTAGATACACAGATACTCCAGAGGCTTGGTAGAAGTCTGGGTTTCTAGTTCACACACTTAAAATAGAGGCTTGAGATTCCAAAATGTAATATCCCATAGTATCCAGCTAATCTTTATATACGTTGAAAACAAGTCCACTTGAAAATTTAGGTTGGAGTATTTCTGTGATTCAGTTGGATTTATTGCTGGGATGCAGTCAATGTCACATGGTATTTCAGATTCCAATGAGTGAATGCTGTTATAATCCTAGTCCTTACCATAATCAGAATTAATAGACAATCCAAAATCAATGTCTTTGTCCCTTCTCAAAGTAAGTTTCATTGGCTAGGTAACCATTTCTGATGTTAATTTTTAACCTAAGTTTCTTCCTGACATTTTTAACCTAGGTTTCCTGCATTAGTTTCCTACTTCCTGGGAAAAGAACATAACCCCAAGAAGTATCCTAATTCTTATCTTTGGATTAATTTAGTATATGTTCCATTTCTGCCTGTTTCTATATTGTGTAGTGGAGTTGCTAAATGAATTGTTGCTTACGAGAACTCTGTCATTTGTTTGTATGCCCTACTGAGTCTTTGTTACCTCTTAGCAAGGTCTCACTGAATTTGAGAGCACTTGTAAACAACTTGATTAAAACACGTTTTGTTGGTAAATATTTCATGGGGATTCCAACTCTAAATGTACCTAATCCTATATCCATTCAGAGAATTCAACTGAAAAGTTCTCTTTAGTCTAGGATTAGTTACTACTATTTGTGGACTAGGAATCTGGGTAGTAGTATCTCACTGCTTGCAGATTGCTTTTGCTGGTATCTTGCTGGTATATAATACTTCTATTCAAACAGCAAGCATTTTCATCTTTGGGGAAAAAAGAACAACAACTTATGTCTTAACTGTTCTTGTCTTTAATTATTGCGAAAATGGTAAAGAAAGTTATTAAAGTGAAGTGTCTGGATGAATCTGTCTTTAAGGTTGGATCTCCCTCTTGCATTTTTTAACAGTGCATCTTTGATCTTACAATGATTCATTGTACAAAACATATATGGTACTAAACCACCCTTAGTTGTCTTGGCTAACACAGAATGATGACTTCCCTGCAGGATCCAGCTGTCCACACTTTGGAAAGGGGGCTGCTTTAAAACACAAGTAATCTTGGCAACACTCAAGGAAACACAGATATTGTGCAGCATAATTTGCATTTTATGTAAGGATTTTTCATATGAAAAAGGGAGGAAAAAAAATTAATGAAAGAATGCATTCAGTCACTAAACAGTGAATTGCAAATACTAAGAGCTTTTCTTGTATGTTGCAGTTTGTGTATAGTAGTTGTACTTATGCTCAACACAAAATATAAGCTAATAGGTTCCAGGTGCATTAAATATTAGACAATATTTATTGATAAGGAAGGCCTTTAAAAATCTATACCCATCTAGGTATGTTACTTAGCATTGCTTTGAGGAGATCGATAGCTAGAGTGTAGAATGATGTTAATAATATTAGCTCTTTTTATCATGATATTTGAAATGCAAAATTCAAACTCCATTTTTTTTTTAGTAAATTCCCAATCCAAAAAACCATTGAGATATCTTAATAGTAATTATGGTGATGATCTCAGACCTTTAACTTTCTGCTTCAGTGGAGTAAGACCTGTGAAGTACTCTGAAGAGAGAACTTTTGTTCTCTGTGTCTGATCAAAGTAAATTTGAAGGAGCAGCCTGATGTAATGCTTCTGCAAGTACTGAGTGAGTTATTTTTGGTCATGAAAACTCAATGGATAATGTCAGTTGGCGCACTTTGTGTTCACAATCTGAGAGCTCTTTTCCTTGTATTGCACATACACAAACCAGTTCTACTAAAGGGTTCAACTGCTGCTAATGCATAAAAGGATCAAGAGCATTTTTATAGGGTGAACAAATTGTTCTGACTTTTTTGGGGGGGGATATGCCAAAGAGTCTGAAGGCATCTGTCATAAGTAATTTACCATTACATCCAATTGTATTATTATTTTGATTTATCTACCACACAGGTGAAGAATGCATAAAAAACTTTATTTAAAATGTAGTCACTTCTGTCCTACAGAAGCAAATTTTGTATTTAAAAATCAAAACATAAAAATATTTTGCCTACAGTGTGTATAATTTTTTTAAAGCAGACATAAAGTAACGGTTCAGTCCTGGGCAGGGTGGTTTTATATTCTTACTGTTATCTGCGAAAAATGAACTAATTACTTGTGTGAGTTTGTACTGTGACGGACTTTACTGAAGAATCTCAACTATACAATTTTCAGTACTAGATTGTACTGTCAGAAAGGAGCTGTCCTTTTGCAAATACTAGTATTTACTCTTCGTTGACAGCTTCAATCTCTTGTTGAAAAATTCAGTGGATTGGTATTCCAAACAGACTTGATAGCTGGATTTGTGAGACATTTGGTATCTACAGCACAATGGTAAAAGGTGGATTCTATACATGTAAGTTATTTGCTCTTCATGAGTGAAAACAGCATGCTCACATGATAAAAGCAAATTTGGTTCCAGTCTGGAAAGTTTGGGTTGAACAATTTCAAAATGAACAAACAAGTGTTCATTTCCCAGTATTTTTTTCATAATTTTAATACTGATTAAAAGAGTTTGCTAAAATTAAGGATGCAGTTGGCTGACACTGGCAGAGGATACACCAAGCAGTCTGAAAGCTTTCCTTCAAGCAAGCTGTTTGCTGACTAGGTGATACGGGGAAAATTTATAGCCTGGCTGTCAAATCCTCCTTTGTAGTGTGATACACTAAACATTTCTGTTTGTACTTGCAGGCCTCTGGCTGTGATGGCACTGAGATTCCTGATGAAGTGAAACTGATTGGGTTTGCTCAGTTAAGTGTCAGCTGATGTCTGTCCCTTGACCCCAAGCCGAATTGTGAGATTGCGAAGAGGCCAGCTTAGATGCAAAGGAAAATTAATGCACCACACACTGAGTTCTGCTTCATTCTCTAGCAATTCACAAAGTCAGAACAAGCAAAGCCCACAGCTACACCGCTGCTGCTAACATTCGAAATGCTAATAAATGTCTCTTAGCAGTTGATTTGGATTCCCCCTAAGTGAAAAGCCTGTGGAAATGCACTCAGGTGGCTGTATTTATTGGTTACAAAAGGAATTTTCTATCAAGCTTACTTCTTTCATAAACTTTGAGTGATACTATTTTACCTGTACTTGTGGTTGATAATACTGCCTCTGTTCTGTTATATTTAGAAATTAACATAAATATAAAAGTTAAGAATTATTAGCCAAACTTGAATTCTAGTTTTAAAACTGACTGTGAATTTTATTTTTCATATATTTATGCATTACACATCCTAGTAATAAGAAAATTATTTGACTTGATTATGTGCTATTTGCAGTTAATCTCCCATTATTTAAAAAAGTTTCAGGTATATCTTTGAAGTATTTGGTAACTTCTAGAGTTTTTTTGAAATTAGTTAATTAGGCATTAGCAAGCTTTTGTTGGTTGTGTGTCTAAAAACCAGTCCACAAACTGATTGTTAAGGGAGTGGGAGGTGCCTTGCAGATATTAATGTTTTAAGAATGTGCCTGAGGCTGCTTAAATAAATAATCTCCATTTTCTAGAAGTACCATATGTATGGTACAACATATATAAATATATATAGTTATCTGAGCAAGGAGGGGATATACAGTAGCAAAGGTGTTAGAGTATTTTGACTATGCTTTATTGGGGGGTCTATAAGCTAGAACTACTTTGAACTGTTGTCGTTGAAGTAGACTGCTTACTGTGTCCATCTCTGATCCGACTTATCCTTAATGATAGAAACCGGTTTTATACAGGTGATAAAAACTTGAAGAATGGAACTGAAGCTTTACTTGAAGTTCTGCAAAATACCAAGGTGGAGTGAAAATAATAGGGCTTTGTGCAATGATCAAGTAAAACTCTGTTACAAAGAAAACACTTCTGACCCAAGCAGTCTTATGCTTAACCTGTGACATAGATGTTATGGAGCTAGTGAACCTTAGAAAGACTTTCAAATTTGGAGACATGTTTCTCGGAGGTCACAATTTAAACTACTTCCTAGCTAATCCTAGATAATCGGCAGCTCTTTAATGTACTGAAAACGGCAAATATATATTATTAAGAGAAGTTATTTATAATGCCTTGTCATAATTGTTGAGGTGTTCTAGAGCCATTTGCGTACGACTCAATGTAATCCCATCCTACTGTTTACATGATGATTATTCCAAGATGACTGCAAAGTTTAAAAAAATAAAAGTGTATTGCACAAACAGATTTGTATTTTGAATTTCCATGCTCTGCATGCATTTCGAGGGCTGTGCGGCAGGGTGCTGGTGTAAATGTCTGCTGCCCTTATGTAGTTTACGAGCAGCAGCTGCGCAAGGAACCTGGTTCCTCGTGTTGGGGAGGAGAAGGGGAGAAAACACTGCTTTCTCGCTCATGGGAGAGAGTTGCTCTTGACCTCTTGCTTTCCAGAGCTTTGCATAAGCCATTTTAAAGACTCCTAAATACTTCAGGAAATCATTCAGATATTCGGGGCAGGACCGGTATGCCTGTGGGATGCTGGTTTGTGTGGGAAGAGGGCGAGAGGGGCCCAGGGCAGGGATGGGGCTGGCACTGGCTGCCCCCAGCCCAGGTGCGGGGCTGGTGGCCACAGCTGAGGCTCCTTGGGGCAGTTCAGGTGCTCCTCGGGAGATTGGTGCCCTCTGGCCCATCACCGCGGGGAGCCCCAGCCGTGGGGGAGGGTTTTGGCAGGGGCTGGGTGCCGTGCCGTGCCGTGGGGTGGAAGGGCCCTGTGCTCTGGTGGGGCCTGGCCTGCAGCGGGGTGAAGGCAGTGAACAAACATGGTAAGTGTGCCTTTCCGCAGTCACCAAAACCGGCGTGTCTTTCCTTAGCTTTGGGATGTCTTTGAAGGTGTGGCATTATTGATAACATGCTCAGTATTTCTTCCACATCAATGGTATCCTACCTCATCACTCTGTAATCACCCATTTCTCTCTTGCCTTGCTCTGGTTCATGATTTGCCTCGGTCAGCTTGTGCACGCTCTGCACCTG